ACAAGCAAGAAGGGTGTACATCCGGGAGAGTAGGAGCAGCCACGTATATTCCCCAGAAGAAGCCGAAAATCAGGCACCCTTTCGGTAGATCACATTGTCCATCTGTTGTAAGCCCAATAGGTCAATAGTACATGAGTAGTGAAAAAATGTTACTACCGTTCATACAATGCGAATTTTTTCGAGAACAGTAGGCGCTAAAAAAATTCTCAAATTAATCGATACCATGAATACACTAAATGTACTGTTTGAATCTTCAAGTGCATCAACTGGAATGTCTCCTTGTACAGTGACGCGACAAACGGGAAGTTGATCGTTGCGAAACTCGTTCTGATATCGACGTTTCTGCGTTTCCCTACATGTTTCTGGTGTTTCGCTTCCTCATATTCCTGTTGTGCATCCATATCGCTGAGCAATGCGGGGCCAAAAAGGTTTACTTCTTATAGATGTTGTTTTTCTTTGTTAACGTTTCTGTGACCCCGTAGCTGGGACACACTCCTGAATCCACTAAATCCAGGAACCGGAGCGTCCACCACCACCAGCACAGGCTGGTGGGATTGAATCGCCAAAAGCGCAGGAGGTTGACTCATTGTGTCTGGCATGCAGTAACTTTCTCACTCAAATAAAAACTTCTATTCCAAAGAGGCTGGACGCATTGTTGGATGGATTCCAAACGTTTGGTATGCTTAACAGTTTCCGCTATAAATAGCCGTGTTTTGCTGAAATACTACTTTCAGCTCAACTGTACTTACCGTACTACAGTTCTATAGGCAGTTACGTAGACGACTATCCTTTCGCAGCTCTCGGCAGTCGTGAGATTACTTCTTCGAACTATTCATCCTCAAGGAGTATGCACACAGTTCTTGATGTGCTGACTATAGTGTTATTATAATAAATAAATATGTTGTAAATAGTAAGCACTGTGTTTGCACCTCTGCAAGGTCATGTCTATAGGCAGGCCGCGAAGTTGCTAGGCTTACTCTGTGTCCGCCTTTTGTACCAATTTTTACACGTTGACGACCGGGTGCTGGTGCTAAATTAGTTGGCGGGAGGACCACGAGGCGGCGCGGCGCTCTTTCGTCTGCTCCTCCAAGCAGAGTCAACCCTGCGTTGCGCAGTTCGCAACGGCACGTTGAGAGATCCTCAACGCACGCTGTATGGGCGGAGACGCAGACGGCTCGAGCATGCGAGTGTGAATGTTCGCGCGAGAGAACGTGTCTAATCGGGCGAAACTGCGCAACGTGGCCGTTGAGAACTGCGCAACGCAGGGTTGACTCTGCCTCCAAGGCTTAGTCCGCCGATGGCGCGTATTTCGAAACTGCCACGTGGCGACGAAATAGTAACTGCCCCTTGGACTAAGCCTTAGAGGAGCAGACGAACAGAGCGCCGCGCCGCCGCGTGGTCCCCCCCCCAACTAAGTTAGCACCGACGACCGCCGTTATGCGCGCACTGCTTCAACATTTCTTGCTATGATATCGCTACGCTCGTCAACGTGTTAAAGGATGTAACGACACCGAGACTGTACTTTGCGGACCGCGTGGGACGGCATGATCCGCTGACGCGTAGCGGCTCTCGAGCTCGCGATGTCGCGGCTATCTCTGGCGGCCGTAAATCCGAATTGCGTACTGTCATAAATGTATTAAGGGTGCAATGCAAGTGGGACAGGCAATGCCGATTTTTTTTGAATCTGTAGGCGCTAAATGTATGTACCTACAAAGGGACTGGTGTCTACTGCAATAGTGTCATGAGAACGAAGGAGATTCGTCAGCGAGAGGAAATGCAGCCAATCTGGAGGCGGGGGGGGGGGAATGCTGCAGTCACTTAGCATGCATGTGAAGCTGGAATGTGTGAGTTACTTCCATAGCGTCCATCACGTCATAGCAGTGGGCACAAGTCCCTACTCACATTTACTCCCCTTCAGAGCACTCTTTTTCCCTGAGGGGTCGCGCTGCTCTAACTGTCTGGCAGGTAGAAACACAGAGGTATGCTAGGTCCTATGACGCAACCCTTTTTTGTCCCCCCAGAGGATTGAATCAGAGTAGGGGGATATATCCCCCTGGGGGAAGGATTGAATACCGCCCCAGAAAACGAAAGAGTGTCGGATTCAATATACACCACAAAAGACGACGGCTTCCACAAAATGTAAATGTTCTCTGCCAATGAAATGATCAAACTGTTGCAGTTGTATTCTATCAGTTGTCACTAAGTACAACTATCATTTACCAAAAATCAACTACTATGAACCATTACCAACCAGTTTTATTTGGAAGCTGTCGTCACTTGA